AGGGTTCACTGTACTACATTTCAGGCCAAAGTATTCTAAGGGAGTTGTCGGCAGCAGAGTGCATAAAATCAATACAGCTAGGCTATAACATCTCTTCTCTCTGCACCAGAAGACAACAAGATAAAAATCGGCTGAAAACAAGATGGATTATTAAAGGGAAAATTGGACTTACAAGCAATGGATTTTTTTTTTCTTCCCTAAATCTCCTTGGAGTTTAAAGCCCCAGGTAGACATCTGTGGGTGGGTGGGGCTCAGAGCTTGGTGTGACCATTAATAAATTGAGCAATCTCAGCTAAGCACTTCTTTTTGCTGAGCCTGAAGCTCCTTGTCAGAAAGCTGGGGACAATAATAGCACTGGATTAAAAAAGTTCTGAGGTCTTAAAGTCTCCTACAGCACCTGGCTTCCAGGAAGCCCTCAGTGGGCACTAGAAATTATGAAAAGCTGGTGTACCCCACAACTAGTTCTGTTTGGGCTCAGATCTGCCAGAGATGGTGCAAAATGTGGAAGGCAGCTTCCATTTCTTGCATGTTTCCCCCAAACCAAACTCATGCCTATGGGAAACAGAAAGATTTCTCCCAAGTCCTCTCCCCCAAATATGTTAGACTCAGGACACTGCTTGCAGCTAATGGTAAAAGTTATTTCCTTTGCAAATCAGCTGCCAGACTGCTGTCTTGCCCCACCACAGGGTGGGCCTGCTCCCTGCTGCTGGGGATAATGGACTACTTCTCCCTGAGGCTTGCGACCATTAGCTTGGTTCCTGTAGGTGGGGTTCACACTCTACTGATAATGGTTCCTACGGAGATCCAGGGAACAGGTCAAACCAGCTCTTGATATCGAAAGTTAGGCTGCCATCCTGTATCTAGGATCCTCCCATCTTGTCACATGTATATCCCCAACCCCTCCTCTTCCTATTGCATGTATGTCCCTAGGCCATCTCCTCTCATTGCTGTATAACCTATAGTGCAACCCATTCCCATGACGTATGTCTTTACCTGTTATTAGTGGGCTTGCATGCCCCCAAAGGTATATAGGCCTGGGTTAGCAATAGAGAGGGCTCCCTCTCTCTCGGCAACTCACTTGACCTCTCGTCGGCTCCCTCTCCTCCCCAGTTCCCTTTCCCCTGGTCCTCCTTCCCTTCCCTCTCTCTCCACATAGACCACCAAGCAGGGCTGAGGTGAGCACTGCTACCATGAATTATGCCCGACTCCATTATTTCAATCTCTCCTCTATCTCTCATGCTCTCTATGACTTTACTATAATCTTTACTTATTTTTGCTGTACAATTGCACCTGATGGACTCGTAATGATGTGCTAGGGGCTGGATTCCCCTTGCACATGCCATGGAGTCGATGCTGACTCACTGAGACCCTACAGAACAGGGTAGAACTGCCCCTGTGCATTTCTGAGACTAACTCTTTACAGGAGTAGAAAGCCTCATCTTTCTCCTATGGAGTAGATGGATTTGAAGTGCTGACTTTATGGTTAGTAGCTCAATGCATAGCCCACTAGACCTCCAAGGCTGCTTCAGACACTGTCAACTGGCACACCAATAGCTGAGGATCCTCTTCTACCTCCTTGGTTTCCTATAACGTTATTTTCTTACCACTGCTGTGTGGGCAAGAATACCAATTGCTCTGAAAGGGAAAACATGAAAAGGTCCTACAATGGGCAGGAGAACAGAGTGGGACAAAATTCAAAATCATAAGAAATACCTAATATATTGGTTGGATAGAGATTGGTGGAATCCCTAAGCCAATGGCCCTCAGTCACCCTCCAGTCTAGGAGTAGCACTCACCCCTGATGCTCAATTCTCATTCAAACAATAGGCAGGTCTGTAAGGGGAACAATAACTCTAGGAAGGTGTGCA